GAAAAACTACCTTGTTAAAACCAATTTCTAAAATGTATACGTCAAGGCTAAGGTCAAAAATCAGAAACCCCTCAATAATCTGTAAACTAATTAGTGAGCCTATGGCAACAGTTGTTACTTCAACTCAGGAAGGTAATTAGTGTCCTGAGTGGGGACTTCTCAAAAAGACAGAAACATCCAAAGGATCTAATCTAAATCTAATCCATCCAAGGCAAAAAAACTTAAGTGGAAACTTTTTTTCCTACACATAATAAAAAATTTTCTTTTGATTTACTAACAGTCTCTAAGGAGGTGGGCAGTTACCAATTTAACAACAACAAAACAAATGCATCAGCACCAGTGCCTTTGAAGTCGCAGCTCACGTGTTAATCTGCTGGAAAAAAATATATATAGATTAACCCAAAATGTCCTCAATCCAAAAGGAAGGTAAATGAAGGCTACGAGACTAAGGAAAAGAAGAGGTAAAATGAAGCCTAAGAAAATAAATACTGCCACATTACTCATTATACCCTAACGTAACATAAACCTTCTAGTTTCTACAGCTATACTCCAGAACACAATACACACCAAAACGCCAATGTTGTTGAGCTGACTAAAGCAAATATGAGCTAGTTCCTGTGAAAGTAAACAGTCTTCATGTAAAGTGAGGGCAATGGACAGCAATTAAAGCGCCACATAATCCAAGCCACTGGACAGCAGAACAGCAGCACTATTGCAGCTCCAGAAGATATGACTAGGTTTTCACGTCAATGAATAAACCACCACCAATAAAGCAATTAAAAACGCATCCCAGGATGTCTCAATTCCTCTGGCATGTACTTCACTATAAGAAGAGGACAGACTTTTCCACCTATAAAAGCTGCCCTCCAAACAATGGTTTAGGATATTTTCTCTATAATGCGATAAACAACTAAGTACTGTAAACCAAGACAGCTAGACTTAGAGACTTCATGGATTTTGTGGTTCATGGGCTGGGCCTTCTCAGCTGCCCAGAAGAGCAAGTGTTAAAGGTGGAGCCACAGTTCTGCCTTTAGGTGACAGTTATTCCTTTAACCCTTAGCAGTAACAACAGCTGCTCCAGACACAGTCCCTCCTTGTGGAACCTAGGCTGCTTTCAGCTGCAACAGACAAAGAATTCAGGGTTAAAGGAGAAACCAAAAGAAGCCAATTATACCTCACATGCTAACCACAGGACAAACTACCCAATGTTTCACCTCTGAACTGCAAAGATTTGCAACCGTTTACAAAAAGCAATGAAATAAAGCAAGCTATTACTTGCCTTCAGCAAAAAGTTATTAGCAGGTTTCGGTATACACAAACATATACCCAATTTGTGTATATCCGAACTGTCTATGGCGCTTTCCCTAGAGCACTCATGGTAGATGGTTCCATTTGGATATTCCAGAACTGTACCACAGAACACACACCCAAAGGATGACCACCACCTGCACAGGGCACTTTCAATTCAATTTCAGCACCCTGTTAAGGGGGGAAAAAAAAATTCAACCTCATGAAGTAGCTCCGTTTTGATCCCTACCACGAGGATTCTAAAACACAAGGTTGGGGGGGGGGGCACAATTCTCTAAGTATACTGAAAACCAATTAATTGTACACTTTAAAGGGGCAAATTTTGCGATATGTGGGTTAAACCTCAATGAAGCTGTTATTTTAAAAAGCACATACCATAGCACATTATCACTTGCATGAAGACTGAAAAGGATCAACTTTTCCCCCCAAACTATGGCTTTATATTTAAATAAAACGAAAAGAAAGAGGTAGTTAAGCCCAAACCAACCATTATCACTATTTCCCATCATGCCTTAAGGAACAGCACACCTACAGGACTTGTCAGCTACTGAGCAGAGGAAAGCTGCTGCAACCCACCACCAACTTTACCACTATGAAAGCTTGCCTTTCTGAAAGTAAACATGTCAGTTTTACATTCCTCACACTCTTAAACTTCTTCTACAAGTCCTCAGAGCAATAAGAACTTAAAAATAACACAACAAGGGTTTGGAGAAGCAAATGCAAATAATGCCTATATCAGAAAATACAGTTAAAAGAAGGATCATTTTAAATAGGATACAGAATGAAGTAGTCAACATCTTTGTCTTTACAAGATAAAAACAAAATCTCTAGGCTCAGCATTTAAAAGAAAATACAACAGCTTACAAAAGAAACAAACACAGCTTTAGTGGGGCTGCTTTCTCGGGATTACACTAAACGTTAGATTTGGAGAAGCTAAGGTGGCAAAATGCTTAAATGCTAGATCTCATCTGAGTTGCCTACTCCAAGTAACAGAAAGGTTTATCAATGTCAGGTCTTAATTTTAAAGCTGCAAAGGAACAAAAAGGTAAATGAATGTGACTGAAATTAGTTTAACAGTGACACAGGGCGTGTACGGAAAACTATAGATATTCCATGGTTGTTTTGAAATGTAGCGGCAGTGGCCCCAAGGTTACTCATTATAACCTCATTATCAAGGGTCAGGCAGGATTCTCCAATTTCTCAAGGACAAACAACAACAAAAATTGTCAGCTCCAACCAATATCAACTTAGAAAACTCGAACACTCTGAGACATAAACATTCCACTCCATAACAATGTGCCTCACTCAAGTTAGCATTCCTCTTTAAAAAGCCAGAGAGGACACAGTGGAGAAGGAAGCCCTCGCTGCACATCTGCTGGGCACTTCATATGTGACCTCATGTGACGCTCTGAACAAATCCATGAGGCCAAGTCCATGAAGCAGGTAACCTGCCCTCTACTCCAACGGGGAAACACCAAGAGGAGGGAGGACTCTGGCCAAGATCACATAGCTGGTCATTTTGGTGCCCAAGTTGGGGCTCTGGGGAGATTAGCCCCTTCATCTCGTCAAAGGGATTTCTGGCTTGACAGAAAGCCTCTCTTTGTAAATGATATTTTTGTTCCAGCTTTTAACTTGCTGCCCCGCCAAAACAATGATCACCATCTTCTACTTTTATAAAGTGATGCATCTGCACACACACAAAAGAACCCCTTTCAAGAGCTGAACTCGACTAGAGTCGCAGCCATGGACATTATCAGTGTGTCACATTTAACCTGAAGACTAACAGCACATTAAACTGATTTTGGGGGACTGAAATCCCGCTCGCATCCCAAAGTTTACTGAGCTCCCTACAGACAACCCATTCCCTGCTTTCCCTTTGTTGTAACTGGAATAACATTTTGCTGCCCAGTGTACAACATGGGTGGGAATGGGACACACACTTAAAAAGAAAACCACAGTCTCGGAGGTCTATGTCACCAAAAAAGATAGGACATAGTTTAAAACCAATGCAGGGACCACAACCACTTCTTAGAGGAAGACATTAAAGAAGAAAAGCCACAATCCAGGGTTGAAAGACAGCTGAAAACCACCACCAGTAAACCAGAGGTACCAAACTTTTAACTTAAAAGATCTTAGACACTGTCAAAGATCTTCAGCACTACTGGTCCTGACTGCAAATCCCTTGCTTCCCAAAGAAAGTCAGAGTGTAATCTAAATACAACACACTTGGTCAGAGAAAAATCTTTTTTCTCCTAGCACAATTTATTTTGGCATTGGGTCCTAGGGGACCGTTAAAAATAAGTTTGAGTCCCAAACACTTTGTTAACATAGTTTTGAAACATTTAGACAAAAGTTCACATTTCTAAGTGGATGACCACGATGCCCTTCCTGTTTAATTTGGAGACCAGAGATCTTTAACTTAACCTAGCATTCCTTAGGAGACCGGCTCCAACTGTGCCTGGGATTTGTTTGCACAAAGGAAGGCGGACCTTGAGAAATAACTGTTCCACATGCATTGAAGGCTCCAATCCTGTTTTTGTCTGTTACAATAGCCTGGCTCTTAAAACACACGTACGACATAAACACAGATACGCATATGCATTCAAAAATACACAGGCACATATACTCACATATATGCGTACGCATTCATCAGTACGTACACTCACAAGCACACGAATACATGTATACTTGCGCGCGCACACATGAACGCACACACGTGCACACGCCGCGACCCCCCCCCACCTCTCCAGCGGAGACACCCGCCCACTCAGGGGAAAAAGACACCCCGGCCTGGGGCGCCCCACAACACCCTCAAATATCTGCAAAGGTTCTAGCGCCTTCTCATCGCCACATCATAACGGCTTCCTTTTCTGGTAATAAACACCAGATTTGGCAAAATCAAGGCGACACAATGTGTAACTGTCATTTGTCACCCAAGAACTCTATTAAGGGGACAAAGACCTTACGGCGCTTCCTGATAAGATAAAAAGACCGCGACCTCTGACCGTGTAGGGGCGACTCATCCGTGTAGGGGCGCCACAAGCGCGGCCCTCCCCCGCGAGGCGGCGGGTGCGACCGTCCCCAAGGGCGAGGGATGGGCGAGTTGAGGTGGGGGCAGGAGCTTGGGGTGAGGCGAGGTTGGGGTACAGGGTGGAGGCTTGGGACACAGACTCAAGTGCGGAGTGGAAGCTTGGGGTGAGAGATTGGGGTTGCCAGGTGGAAGGCTGGGGTAAAGGAAGGAGTTTGGGGTTCGGGTGGGGGGGGGTTGAAGTGAAGACTTAATGTGCGGGTGGAGATTTGGGACTCCACGTAAAAGCTTGGGGGGGCGAGTGGGGTTTTGAGGTCCAGGGTGGAGGACTGGGTGTCGATGGGGTTTGGGGGAGCGGGTTGGAAGCTTGGGGTGCGGGTGGAGGCGCCAGACCCACCTCCTACATGGCTACGCACCTTGTGGCAAGCTGGGCAGGTGGGCAGCACACTCTTGCCCCCGTGGCCGCCGCTGCCGCCGCCGCTCAGGCTGCTCTGGATCTGCGTGAGCTCCTGGCGCAGCACCTGCTTCTGGTGGAAGCTGAAGGCCGGGTGGTTGGAGGCCATGGTGAAGAGCAGCAGGAACTCATCGCCCGTGCGGCCCTCGTTGAGCTGCAGCCCGTAGTTGTGGATGATGGAGTCGATGTGCGTGAGCGTGCGGTACAGCACGCCCGCCGCCTCGCGCTGCTCGGAGCCCAGCAGCGCCAGCGACACGAGCAGCTTGCTGCGCACCACCTCGTCCGTCAGGTTGGTGAGGCTGCCCAGGTCCGCCGGGTTGTTGGCCTTGATCTCTGAATCGCGCAGCGAGTGGTAGTCCTTGCGTGCCAGGTCCTCGAGGCACGAGCCGAGGAAGCGCAGCTCGAGGGGGATGCACAGGTCCAGCAGGCCGCACAGGAACTCCACGCGCTGCGGCGACGGCAGCTCCGAGAACCAGCGGTACACGCTGTCCCTCTGCAGCGGGCAGCGCTTCTCCACCATGCTGCCGCCCGCGCCGCGCCGCCGCCCGGGGCCGAGGGCCGCCGCCCGGG